GGCTGTTGATCACCAGGCCTTTCTTCTGAGCACCCCTGGGTGGACTCGAACCTCCAACCTTTTGGTTGGCAGCCAAGTGTGTTCACCATTTGCCCACCCAGGGACTACAGGTCACCGAAGGAGACGTTAGTCTGGGTCCTAGACTGCGTGCTCCTGATCACTCATCAGATTCCTGGGAGTCAGCGTTTCTCTGATTCTCAGTTGGTGTCTGTGGTAACCTTTGCTTCTGTGGCCTCTGCTTAACATAGAACCCAGTCGACTTTGGGCAAGACGTTGGTCGGCAGGCACATTCAGCCAGCTGCGCCCAAAAGCTGATTAGTTAGCAGGATGTGCGTGTTTATGTCAGAATTGCCTAGATCGCGGGGAGGTTGGTGGGTGTGGTGTAAAAATGGCAGGAAATCATGATTGACTTTTGTCTTTTAGAGGGCCTTTTGTGTATGAGTGACATCTTCACTGTTTTTGCCTATTGTCATAGTGGTGACAGCCCCTTATTATCATGGCCTCCCGGTATTTGAGGTAGCTGGAGAAACGTCACCTCCCTGGTGGTGAGCTGTGGTAAAGAATGCACCGCTCACACCCAGGAGTGAAGGCAGGAGCCCAAGCAGAAACCTGGGCTCCAGTGCTCACGCAGCACCCATCACGAGAGCCAAGGGTGGAACCACTGAAATGCCCGTCAGGGCATGAGTGGGTGTGCACACCACACCATGCAGGAGCCTCGAGAACGTGGTGCTGAACAGAATCAGGCGGCCGCCAAAGGACAAGCACCGTTTGATCCCACAGACGGCCGCAAAGGACAAGCACCGTTTGATCCCATAGACGGCCGCCAAAGGACAAGCACCGTTTGATCCCACTGATGCGGAATGAGCAACTATGTGGATACCAAGGGTGATTAGTGGTTCCTGGGGGTGGGGGGCCAGAGAGAGAGGGGCGTCATTTCTTAGGGGCAGCAAGTTTCTGGTCATGGTGATGGATTAATCCAGAAAAGGATAGGACCAGGGTTTGCTCCACACGAGCAGTGTAATCGGTGTCATTGAATTGTGCACGCAGAGATCATTGAATTGGTGAATGTTTTATGGTGTATATTCTCACCACAATAAGTAAAAAGAAGGCATAGCTTGGAGAACACGTGCAGTCATTGGTGTGTCACCCAGTTTAGAGGTTAATGTCACAGTCCACAGCCTTCTCCCGCTGGGAAGTTCTGACACACACCCATGAGCACACTGGCAGTCTCCTGAACTTTCCACCTGTGTCAGAATGCATGCAGCCCACTGAGTGTCAACCCCCAGAAAAGCTCCCGCGTGGAGCACTCTACCCTCGGGGCAGGCATGGCCATCCCCAACTAGAGAAACCACTGGCTGGGCGCGTTAGGCCGTGGGGGCCGGGCCAGGAAGGCCGCCGCCGAGTTCTTTTTAGTAGCAGGTGCACTTTGGGAAAACAATGTTGTTAGCTGCTGGCAAGTTGATGCTGACTTGTGGTGACCCCACACGCAGAGAACTCCATAGGGTTTTCAGAAGTGGGTCGCCAGGCCTTTCTGGGGCACCCCAGGTTGGGTTCAAACCACCCACCTTCGGGTCACTGGTTGAGTGCTTCACCACCTGCACCCAGAGATTCCAGATTTCTTCCTAAGGCTCCTGTTCATCCTGGCCAGGAGCAGAGCGTTCAGGTGGAGGTGCACCTTGAGAATGAACGGCCATAGCAGCCCATCTCAGTTAGGTCTCGTTTAAATGGTTGACTTTTCAACTAGGAGCAAAAACACTCAGCTCGTAGTCACTTAGCCTTCTAAGGGTTGCATACTTTCATCTGTGGGAAGGCTAATTGGTGGGGACAAGCCTCCTACAAGGAACCGTGGTGGTACGGTGGTTCAGCGCTCTGCTGCTAACTGGAAGACTGGCAGTTTGTGCCTATCAGTACCTCATGGGAGACAGACCTGATGGCTGCTTCCATAAAGGTGATGACCTTGGGGCCCTGTGGGCCAGTTCCGCTCTTCCATGTGGGGTCGCTGTGAGTGGGAATCGATCAATGGCACTCCGCAGCAGCGAGTATCCTGCAGTCTGAGCTCTTCGCTTAACGAGCTACTGCCACGCCACCGTTCCGCAGAGTCGGTCCTGACTCATCACAGCCCCCCGTGTCACAGCATGACTATCCACCGGGTTCTCCAGGCCGATTTTTTAGGAAGTAGCCTTTCTTCCCAGGTGCCTCTGGGTGGACTCGAACTCTGAGCCTCTCAGCTGCTGTGCGCGGAAACCGTTCACACCCCACAGGGACTCCTAGGTTACTCACCGGGCGGTGGAAACCACCCTTTGTGGCACCATCTGCAGATTGGTTTATAATTACTGCGTGAGTAATTGTGTTCAATTATGGGATTAGTGCCCTGCCCACCTTGGCAATGAGGTGCTGCTTAGAGCGCTGTGCACAGGGCCGTGAGCCGCTCCACGGCGGGCTCTGGGTCTCTGAGTCACGCTGCCATCAGCCCGTGGACTAATTGTGGTCATCTTTGCTGCGCCAGCAGGAACCCTAGCAGGTGCAGGGCTCCTGATGTCACGATCGCGAATGATTTACAGGGAACGGTCACTGCTCCTTGCCTTTTAGTGCCTGTGATGAAGACTGAGAGGTGTAGGCTTTTACAGTGGACCGAAGGAGAAAACACCGTGCAGTGACCACCCCAGGCGGTCACGGGGGGACCAATTTCCTGCCCACAGACCCGCCGACTGAGCCAATACAGGGAGGAAGCAGCTTTACATTTCTAGAAGGATCACAGCGCAGGTATAAAAACAGCGTGACGCGGCGGCGCACCAGCTCAGCGCCCTGAACGTGAACATGGGGAACACACACCCCAGAGGCAGCCAGCAGAGCGGCACGCTCCCGGGCCGCCCGGAGCTGTCCTTCTACGGCTCTTTTCCTCGGAAGTGGAATGAGAAGGTCTTCTTAGATAACGAGCTGCTGACCTCCAGGGTCCTGTCCGTGCTGCGGCCGCAGCCCGAGAGGGGCTTCCGGGCAGGCACCCTCCGCTGCCCTGCACACTTTCTGAGCACCAACTCTGTGTTTGCCTCCGTCGCAGCCTCGCTGAAGGAGCGCCCGCGGGGCACCCTCCTGTCCCCCGACAGCAGCCCAGCCCTGCCCAGGAATGTCGGCATGACGGTCCCGCAGAAGGGGACTGCAACACCAGCACCGAGCCCGGCTGGAACAGGGGCGCGACTTGGGTAAGCCGCTTCCCTTCTTGGTTGCAAACGTAGGTGACGAGCACCCCCCGCCCTGTCCCCGTCTCCATCCCGGGAGCTGTTGACAGGCTGCCCTGTGGTGAGTGGTGACATGCCCGTTAGCACCTGCCTCCAACATTCAGCCCTTCCCCGCTTTTCCAAGGTGAGGCGTTGTGGGTGTGTTTCGGCCATTTGGAGCCAGTGTGCTGTTGCTTCACACCCTTCCAGAATGTTCTTGCGCTTGGCCCTAAATCAGAGCACCTTGCTTTGCCCAGGAC